GCCTCCTCCGCCGCCGCCCGGGGCGGAGCGGGCGGGAGGGGGCGAGGGGGGAGCCCGTCCTCCCGGGCCTGCGCGCGGAGCCACACGGGGAGGAAAGAACAGGAGCGCAGCGCGCTCCGCCAGGCCCCACAGCGCTGCGCGGATCGCGGGGGCTGCCGGGAAACGCGGCGCCGCAGCCAACCAGGCCCGGCGTCCCCTGCGCTCGCCCTCGGTGACGTCAGAGGTGGCTGCCCGAAGCCGCTGCGGCACCATGATGGTGAGGGGCAGGGGCACTTCCGGTCGAGGGGTGCGTCTCTAGGGGAGAGGGGCGCTGGGGCTGGGCTGAGTGCAGCCCCTCCCGGTACTCCGTGTTGCCCAGAGAGCCTAGGCTGGCCTGGCTCCGGCTGTGAGGGGGGCGCGTGCCCTTAGACCCGAGCGTGTTGGCCACGTGCCGCCTGCCCGCCAGCCCCTCGTCACGGCCTCCCTTCTGCTGAAGGATGCGTCTCCTCAGTGGATTCCCTGGACGGAGCGGGCAGCTGCGGTGTCCCTGCTGCGTGCGGCCCAACGAGCCGGAAGGGGCGAGCGGCAGCTGTGCGGGCCAGCGCAGGTGGCCATCCGTCCAGGATTGCCCGGAGTCTCCAGGAATTAGATACTCCTCTCTAGGAGACTGCTGAGAGCCACCCAGGAGATGAATGATAGGGCACTCCTTCAAATAAATATCAAATGCTGAATCCAATTTATACAGTAGTCCAGTGGGTTTTGAAAACATGCAGTTGCCTTCCTAGGTACCGCAGTCCGTTACTGATGTATGTGAGCACGCGGGCACGTCGATGGCCCGGAAACCTGTAGTCAGTTCAAACAGAGTTGGCAGCCCTAGGGCCAGCAACCACCTGATCTTGACCTAAAAACCCTGAAGCTAGGTGTCGCTCAGGCCCGTAGCCAGCGTGTGCACGCTCCACTCTGCGGGGCTCAAGGGAGGACTTGTTAACCAGTGGGGTACACCAGCACTTTAGGCGCAACAGTTGGGACTTCCTTAAGCATCCCCTTTTGGCAAATGGTGGTGGGCGCAAAGGAGATGCGCCAGAGGTTCACCAGGAGCAAACCATAAAAATCACAGAGCAGCTGGGCTGGAAGGGACCTCCAGAGGTCATCTAGTGAGTCCAACCGCCTGCCTGAGGCAGAATCATCCCTAAGCAGGCCATCCCATACAAACTATAATTCAGGGTCACCCTAACTGAGAAGTTGGCCAGGAGATTTAATGGCCGGATGCCATATTCACAGCAGGGTCCCTCCATGCCTCTGATTGGCAGAGCAGCCCCATCGACCCTGCCCCTTCACTGCTGATTGGCTGTGAGGGCTGTCATGAGGCTCCCCCTTGCTGCTGATTGGTTGCAAAGGTGGTCTGTCCTGCAGCCCCACCCCTCACCACTGATTGGTGGAGAGGGCGGGGTCGCACAAGAAGCAGCCCTCTCAGCCAATCAGCAGCAAGGGGTGGGATGGTGGGCATCATGCCGGCCCCCCTCTTGTCTCCCAGCAGGCAGCAGTGTGAGATGCAGTGCCACCAGGACTGCAGGCTCCCTCAGGGGAGCATTTAATTTTCAGTCATGTTTTTTTCCTGCAGCGAGCCTGACATTTTTTGCAGAGCCCATCCAACATCACATTTTCTGTGAACATCGCGCAGTCACGAATTCGGTAGGTCCATAGCCATAATCTAAACCAGGGGTGGGAAAAATGGTAGATCTGGCAAATGGCCAGACTTCATTTCCCAGCAGCCCCTGCCCAGGTTGCTGACTGGTTTCCATGGAGCCCCCAGCAGCAGGGGGCCAGAGCTTCCATGGAGACTGGCCCCAGCAGCCTTGGCAGGAGGCACAGCTGGGTGGGATACTGCTCCATGGCCAGGGCTGTGGCCAGGGCAGCGGTGACGGAGTGGTGCAGAGCTGGGGCAGGTTCCTGATCCTCTGCCTTCACACCTCTGCTGGGGGGGCATGAGGGCAGCAGATCACAGTTCTGCCCTGGTTCCCAACCACACTGTCACTGCTGTGAGATCCCAGCCCCCACCTGCTGCTAGGGTCGCTATGAAAACCAGCCACAGCAATGGCAGGCAGGGGATGCTGGGAAATGAAATCCACTATGGGCCCAATCCAGCCCAGAGGCCAGATTTTGCCTTGCTCTGATCTAAACTCTTTGTAAGATGACTGCAGTTCTGACACAACACAGACATCACTTCGTAACCTGCCATAAGTAACGAAGGGGAACTATGGCAGCTTACATCCTGTTTCTACAAAAAGTTGTTAAAGTACACACAAGAGATCCTATGTAGAGGACCACACACGCTCCCTACCACAGCAGAAGGCAAAACCGCCCAGAGTCTGTACCAGTCTGACCATGGAGTAAAAGTCCTTTCTGAAGCAAGGGATCCCAAACTGAATGGCATATGCTTGGATATTGTGGCTTGGGGAGTTGCTTTTGCACGGTGATAGCAGTCAGTTGTGTCACTCGCCTTATTGCAGGTGCCTGCGTTGGCTTACTGTGGTAAGGGTGTAGTTTGTGAGGCGATATTTCAAGGTCAGAAGTAGTCAAACTTGCTTCCATACAAAAAATACATATAAGCGAGGAGTATGTTATTTCTTTATTTGAAATAACTAAAATTAGTCAAACTAAAACAAACAACTACCTCATCAAGCCACATAAAATGCTTGTTAAAGTTATGGAATGACAATACATTAAAGATTAATCATAATATGCGAAGCGATTTCTTTCACAGCAGAAAGTGCTTCAATACAAGTCGGTCTTATCTGATGAGGAGGAAGCAAAAATCCATATTGTCCCCTATCCCGGAGCTCAAAGGTAAAAGAATACTTAATGCCAAGATCGTATGCCCAATCATCTGACCCCCCAGGAGCTAAATCTGTAGGAGAAAGAAAAGAAAACATACTAAATAAACTCTTCATTTTAGGTCTCAGTTCAACAACCTGCTTCATCAGGTTAGAGAGGATATTCTATTATGCTAATTATTGTACTTAAAGCTATACTTACAGATTGTTTCTGCACCAGGGCCAGACTGATAAACGGTTCTGGATGTCTTTCTAATAGCAGCAGCAGCTTTATTTGCCAGAAGTTGCTGAAATCAACAAAGTATTAGTCAGCTTTATTAGCCAGTAAAAATGGGATCCATACACACCACAAACACAATGGAGATAGTAGACCTATTAAGAGTGGTTGTCCCCAGGTTTGATTGTGTTACAGTTTGTAATAGATGTATTTAAAACAAGGTTAGCTTAATTTATGCACATTGTACAAATTGTTTCTATGTTGTAATTTAGATGGGCACCTTTCAGCAGCAAACTATTACCATACTAAATCTATTCTCTTTAGTTATCTTGTTTATTTTATGTTGGGTGTGCCTGCACATTGCCATATGGCAATGTTGCTATGGTGCCGTGCTTTAGTACTTCCTTTTGGAAGTACTAAAACACGGTGCAATACGAGTGGTTACTGCACTGTGAGCATGGCGCACAGTTAAGATTTCGCCATTACATTACCATAGCAGCGCACTATAACCAGGAAGCACACTGCTACGGTGACGTAGCTGGTGATCACGTGTAGACCCACCTGATCATTACGTCGCCATAGCTCACCGTATAGCATACAGCAACATAGTGCGTTGCTGCACCGTTGTAGGGTGGCATGTAGACACGCCCATCCTGTCACAGTGTTTTTGTAAGAACATAGCATTGGTATGGGTTTTGACAGCACTGAGTTCAGTCCTCTGTGTTTGCAGACAACCATTTGTGTCAAAAGTCCTTAAAATCATATGCTCTAACTTCTCACACAACAACCACAAAGCATATTAGGAACAAAACCAAACCCTCTCTATAGTTTGCAATAAGTGAAAAGTAGGGAAGACAAGAGCACAGCCAGTGCCCTGCCATTGCATTCCATCCTGACCCCATATCTGGCAACGATTTGACTCTGAAGAGAAAAGCAACACCTTTTGGCTAGTAACCTCTGAGTTTTCTAAGGTCCTTTCTACATGTTCAGGTAAAGGAACGATAGAATCTAATGCACAATCCGCACAGTCACACTTTCTGCTGTACCACACGTGCATTGCAGAAGGCGTGATTGTGGGATTACACATTAAATCCCATCGTACTGTACTGCAAGTGCAGGGAGGAGCCCAATCCCCATATACCTCACAACTCTAGGAAACCCTCCCCCACTTCTCCTCTGGCAAAAAAACCCCTGAGAAACAAACTAATATTGCATTAGTTAAGGGGGGTGGCAAGAGTGGAAATTCCTTCTCAGCCCCTGCAGGTGACCAGCAGAAGATCTAAAGCAGCGGTTCTGAACCTTTTTCAGTCGATGTACTCCTTGGCCTCAGAGTAAGACTTCACGTACCCCCTTTCAATCGGAAATTAATTTTTTATGTCAAACTGCGTGTAATCCCATGCGCATGCATGTTTTACGGCAGGTTCAAATTGTCAAGACTTTTTTTAGGCCCTTTGACCTGTGTTAGGCAATGTATGAAATATACCTTATGTAACCCCTGATGAGGCTTCACGTACCCCCTGGGGATACATGTACCCCTGGTTCAGAACCTCTGCTCTAAAGCATGGTATTGCTAGATGCTGCCTGCTCAGAAAAAAATACCTCGCAACCCCAACTGGGGATTGCAATACCTGAATCCACACATCATATTGACTGATACTTGAACATTCTTATCCCATCATTCTGGCCTTGTTATAAACCTACCAAATTCCACCTTAAAGTGAGGTTCTTTGTCCCTTAACCTTTATATTACTTCTAGAAAAAGAGTTTTTATAATGAGAAATTATATTCTGCTCCTCAACAAAAGAGAAGAAAAATTATTCAATAATTAGTTTATTTCACTTCTCTGCACCACACAGAAGAAAGCAACATATTTAAGATTTTCTTTTATCTGTGTTCACATGTGCATTAGCTAAAATTAAAAAAAAAAAATGGAGGAGATAGAAAGGTTATACCTTAAGGAGGGAAAGGTGGGGTACATGACTGGGGGGGAGGAGGGCGGGGGGAGGGCAGTGCCCTGCAAAATGTGGCACAGGGGTCGGATGCGGCCAGCCAGGCCATTCTATCCAGCCCGTGGGGCCCCTAAAAATTTAGAAAATGAATATTAATCTGCCCTGGGCTGCCTGTCATGTGGCACTTGATGGCTTGCCGAAACTCGGTAGGCGGCCCTCTGCCCAAAATAATTGCCCGCCCCTGCCCTAAGGGTATAAGGCAGTCATTATCTGAGAGGAGTTAAGAAACTATATTCCTTTGTGGATGGGTTATTCCATGCTTGTCCACTAAAGGATTTTTTTTTTCCTTTTTCAGAAAATCTGGCACTGGTCACTGCTGGAAATTGAATACTAGACTAATTGGACTTATGGTCTGATCAAATAAGTTAATGCCTGTGTTTCACAATGATAACAAATATATTAAAAGAGAAAAGAGCTCCCAGTAAAGAGACATTCAGTTCTGAAAGACTTCAAGAGATCTGTGCAGTGAAAAGAGAGGTGGGAATAGAGGCAGCACATGCAGGGGGCAATCCAACATCCCCATGACCTGCTGTAGGTCTCATGGTACAAAAAGCATCATGCCCACCTCTTCCATGTCCTGTGTCTAAGACAGCAGGTCCTACAGGGGAGAAAAATCCTTCCTGGTTCGCTCTCTTTTCCTACTTCTTCTCTGGTGCCATGCAGGAGGCCTTGGGAGCAAGTGTCCCTCTTCCATGTGGAATTCAGATTCAGGAGAAGGGGTATTTTGCTCTATGGAATTTCTCTTCTTTCCCATACTCTGAGGACTTGATTAGGTTCTTCAGCTACCCATATAGCTTTATTAATCTATGTGCATTAGCTCACCCAGCCTATCTTACAGCTCTTTTTTAAACTTAGATAAACCCAAGGGCTTAGATGGAGAAGAGGAGCTGGCCAGTGGTGAAAATGCAGAAACCTTTATTTCCCAGTTATCCTTCTTATCGCTTTTGTCAGAGAGGATTCCACACAACCCATACTTCCACAAGTCCCTGATTTTGTGGACTTCTGGAGGGCCATAGGACTGGGTCTCCTTTTTTCGGGTCTTAGCAGGTCTAAATTCAGGAATGTTATTAACAGGCATTCATAACCAACAGAAACCAAGAGGTATTTCTTCCTCCCTACCTGGACTTCCAGTGCTTTGTTGGATCAAGACACTTTGAGACCCAAATAGTGATTATCTCCATAATACCATGAGGACCATTACAGAAAAATAGACTTCATTAACCCACAGTTAAGTTTGCAATCACATATCACTGTTATGGGTGAAATTTATTATTAAATGATGCATTATTTTTAAAAGTTGCAGATCCAGTAAAGTCAAATTAAAGTATAAACTATAAGAAACCTGAATCTGAATGTGTGTAAACACCTTATTAAGATCCCAAATTACCTTGTCTTTTCCCCTTAAGAAATGCCTTGAAAATACCAGAAAAAAGGGATGCCCAATCCCTGCAAAATAAATAACCCCCTATTTTTTCATGTCCTCCAAAACTAAAATTCCCAATTTTAATCATACAGTAATCTTTCCAACTTCAGCCTTCTTTATGGCCTTATATTAAAGTCAAAGCTGTTCCAAAGCCTTCCATTGTTAAGGCACTTCATTTTTTGTAGCCAGAAGCACACAAGGGAGTGATATAACTACTGCCACATCCAGCCATCTTAGACTCCTGAACCCAAAAAGGACCCAATTTTAAATGGATTGACTCAGGGCGGACTTTGTCATGAGCAGAGAACCTGTTTTTCTCTGATAAAAAAAATCCCCAATTTTTGGATTAAAAAAAAGTAACCCAAAATCCATGTTTAAAAGAAACACCACTATATATAGGTCTGTATATTAGTGGTGTTTCATTTTAATGACAATCATTTCCCATGCCGCCTCAGAGCCCAATTCTGCAAGAGAATGGGGTTTGAAATATAGATGACATGTAATACTTGTTAACACTTACCAGCTCATCATGATCTTTACTTCTGTTCATAGTATAGGAATATGGGAACAGAACCATCTGTGAGTAAGAGTGCATAGTTATATATCCCTTAATGTTGTCTTTGTGTGCTTTGAGAAAACTGGTCACAGCCCTCACTTCTGGTTCAGATTCAGGATAGGGTCCACAGTATGTCTGTCGACATGAATTATCAGATGCCCCTTCACCTGGAATCAACAGAATAAACAATGCCATCTGTTAAGTTTTTATACTCAGCATTACCTTCTGCTCTTGTAAGAGAACAGAACACAGTGCTCCTATGCAAAACCATGGAGACTGACACACTCTGGAAAGATCATGCATATCTCAGTATCTGTATATTAGGTAAGCCTGGTTTGTCACTGTTTTGTACCTTGTATGTGCTGAAAAATGGAAGAGGGTGTGAAAGCCACAAAAAAGACTAAAACTGATTTCTACTGAGAGGACTTAAAGAGCTCACTTAGTTTAGTTTATCAAAACAAGATTGAGAGGCTAATTGATTAAAATGTATAAGTGCCTTCATGGGCAGAAAATACCAGGTACAAATGGTTCTTTAATTTCATGGAGAAAGGCGTAACAAGAAGTAATGGCTAGGCACTGAAAGCAGACAAATTTAAACTGGGAATAAGGTGTACAAGTTTTTGACTGAGGGCAACTCATTATTTGGAACAAGATACCAAAGCAGATAGAGGATTTTCCATCCTTTGATGTCTTCAAATAAAGACCAAATGACTTTCAAGAAGATATGGTTTAATCAAACACAAGTTACTGAGTTTTAATATGGGAGTAACTATGGTTGGTTTTTTTTACATATAGAAGGTTAGATTAGATGATCTAATGGGCCTTTCTGTCTTTCAGCTGTGAAACTGTGAATGTAGTTAGTTATGCAGTGGGTGCAAAACATCACAAAACTCAGAATATTAATATTTTACACTTGCTTTGCACAAGAATAAGTAACTGCACAATGGTAAAAGGCCATGAAGAATCAAGCCCTTTTATTTCCAAGCAATCTTGGGCTCATATTCTTCTTTCCTGTATTCTTTGTTATAATACAATTAGCCAGCTGAGAAATTCATATAACAAAATGTAGAGAATTTAATTCCAGGTTCCAGGCAAATTCAGCTCCACAGGGTAAATTCAAAGTAAATCCACTCATTTCATCAGTTAATTGTGACTTTCATTAATATAAAGGAAAGCCATTATGTATCATTGCAGTATGCAATGTATTTTGTTCCTTAGAGAAATCATTGTGATTTTGCCCTGGCTAAAAAGTACTGGGACAAGAAAATTACTGGTGCTTCACCCACTGACTGGGGAAGACAGAAATAGCAGTACAACTCCAGGTTTACTTTGGGATACACAATTCATTAGTAGCATCAGTGTTTAATATCACTGTAAATTACTCCAGGATTGAAAATGGACAGATGACAGATCATTCATTACTATCTGCTGCAGATGGGGCAATGATGCCACCTCTCCAATAAATAGCAGAGACAGATAGCCTGTTTGCATTGACACATGAATACTCCACGATAGCTGCACATACACAGCAGCTGCATGGATGTCACTTAGCCTGGTATATTTCTAGTACCCTGTTTTCCTTAGATCAGTGGTTCTCAATCTTTTAACATTTAAGGCACTCCTCAGAAAATGCCAGCTCCTAGTTTTCACTCAGTTTTTGACTACAGAAAAATAGTAGAGCAATTCTTCTCTTGCAAATAACTCAGAAAGACCACAACAGGTCAGAAGGCAGGCAAGGTTCTTTGGGTAGATGTGATATCTTTTATTAGACCAACTAAATATTTGGGGAAAAAATTCTTTGCAAACTTTCAGGCACAAGCACCTTTCTTCAGGCAGAATATTTCTTCAGCTGATCTGAAGAAGGGTGTTTGTGCCCAAAAGCTTGCAAAGAACCTTTTCCCAACAATTTAGGGTCTATTAGAAGATAGCACATCTGCCCAAAGAACCTTGCCTGCCTACATCCTTAGATGAACACAGATACAACCAACAACCCTACAGCAGTTCAGAATGTTTTTAACACTGTGGATTCTGGGTGAAGTCTCTGGGTGAAGTTTCTGGGTTTATCTTGTGAATTGTGTTGGCACACCTAACAGTGTTAACATTGTCCAGCACCCTGTGGCACCCTTGAAAGGATCTCAAGGCACCCCAGGCTGCCATGGCATCCTGGTTGGGAATCACTGCCATGGATTCTAATACATTACATCAATATAGGGTTATACATTACAGGTCTACTCCTTTACACTGGCCTAAAGTTGAGTTACACTATTGTACATGTGTTGTGTATTCATGTCCTTCAATGTGTAGATGTTAAACCAAGTTATTTTGACTTGACATGCTAGGTAGGTCAATTGTAGCTTTCTTTTCAGAAGAGCTGAGAACCTATACCTGAACCTATACCTGAACTATCAGTGCTTAACACCTCTGAATGAGGGCCTTGTTTGAAAAAGTGGTTCTACAGTCCAAATAAAGTACTTACGCTGAACACTGAAATGACAATGAGTAAAACAAAAGAAAATTTCAGCATACCACACCAGCCTGCATCAAAATTCCTGTTCATGTCGGTACCAATGCACCTGTCGTTGGCATGGCGTGAGCGGCTTTTCCTCCACATTCGATGCTCCATAGATCTCTAGAAAAATGTGCAATTATGTAAAAAGTTTAGGAAACGTAATGTCATTTTGCTTGGTGATGAACATGCAACTTCCCATTTGCAGTTTCTAGATGTCAAGTTTAGATACATAAGCCACTAAAGGGGGTCTAGGGAGGCTATGAAAACATTAACTAATTATCAGCAAGCTACGTAACAAAATAAGATGTTGCATACTGGAAAGCCTGGGCAGGTCTGATTATTCTTAGCTGTATAGAACTGGACTGCATAGTTTCTCCAAGTACCCAAGTTGGCAGATGTAAGCCAAAATAATGAATGGTTTTTCTGAATATTTCAGAGGGAGATAATTAACAGAACTTTGGAAGATATTGATTTAGATAAAGGTTTCCCAGAAATAATTTGTTTGTGTGTGCGTGTGCGTGTGTGTGTGTGTACTTTTTGCATACTACAAACCAAGTTGTGATTATTTTTCATAGCCTCAGTCAGACAAACTTCCTGAATATGAGTAAATACTTTAGGATTTGGTTCCATGACCCAAATTTTCTTGGCACTTTGTTGACTTCAATTGTGCTGTCCAAGGTAACTGAAAATATTTTTTGTTACCTATTTGGCATATGCCAATCTAGAATTTTCACACACAATATTCTTTTGCAAGTCCTAGTTGAGCCCCATTGATCATAGCATGTGGAGAGTCTATGAATGTTATGTGCATTAGGTAACCTATAATCAATAAAGTATCTGATCTTTCCTGCTGCACATTCATTTACCCAAAATAAAAAAAATGATTGCAAAACTATGCTGTTTGGCCTTAGACCACAGTAAGAAGGAATAAGTTACTGGCTTAGACATTTCTGCCTTGTGGTGAACTATCATGGTATTTGTAGTTCACTGATGAAGCTTAACGTGGATATCACCTGACACCTAAAAGAGTTATGTCTGCAAGGGGTAATGCTCTAACATACTTAAGCACTGGTTTGACTAGGCATGATGGAAAATCTTTATGTTCAGTGGATTAAATCGGCCTATTTACAGTAACTATGTTGATCTATGAAGGGACAAAGATACAGAAATTCCATACCCTACTTAACAGGTTTGAGCTCAAATCTCCAGCATGACACTTTGAAAAGTAACCCCTTTAAAATGCTTTTTAGGATAGCTCTCATGATTCTTTCAGAACATGCTGTAATATTCTGCTGTATATGTATAAACCCCATACATACAGACATCCACGTGTACTCATAGCCATCCACATTCATCACTGGCATAACATAAAAATCAAAATGTTCCAGAAGTCTTGAAAAGGTCTGGTCTCTGTCACGGAAATGGGCTGCCTAGAAAACACAGACACAACAATTTATTCAGAGTGTTTTTAGTAGTATTTTCCTCACCAACCTGCCCCCTGGCTATTGTACCTGCTGCCAGTGGTGTTTCTCCCTTTCACAGTCATTGGATAAATACCACTGACAACAGGGGCCAGAGCCTAGGACACTGTTCCTGGCAGAGCCATGCTCTTCTCACTGGTTCAGCTCGTTTACTCCCACTGGCTTCTTCAGTCCAGAGAGACTGACTGTTAAAGGGCAATGGAAATTGGAGAGTCCCAGCAATGTTTAAGTGGCCGTGGTAGTAAGGTCCCTGTAAGGCTCTGGGACACTGGGCAGGATTCTCCAGGACTGTTCAGACAGCAGTGGGAATTGATGCCACCACTTAAGCAACCCCAGGACAAATGTAATGCCTGTTCCAACAAAAATGTAAAACTCGTCCATGGTCTATATATGTCATTCAACTCCCTGTAGTAATGTTATACCATTGTAGCCATAATAGTTCAAGGAATAGTTGAGAAGCTGGATTTGTTTGGCAGTATCTTTTTTTGACCAACTATATAGTTGGGAGAGCTCCTAGACAAACTTTCAGGCATAACTTCCTCAGAAAACCTCAGGTGTTACTACTGAACAAATCCTGCTTCTCATATTCAGCTGTTTGGTGGATAAACTATATTCCAGCTCCTGTGTAGGTGTTTTCAGATTTGTCTTTCTTGTATTTCAAAATCCTAGTTTGAAATACAATAACCCATATTTACCACTCCAAATATTTGAAATGCTTGGCCTAACTTCCTGCTGGTGCTTTAAAAATTTTATATTTGTATCTGAGATCAGTTCCCAGCCCCTTTAATCTTGCTCGCTTTCTCGCTCTCTCTCATATACCCCTCACTCTGGTGTAGCAATCCTGAATTGGTTAGGAAACTGCTGATATCAGAGCATTTTACAAGTGAAGGAAAATAAGATCAAGGTACAGTACTCTGTTTTGCTTCAACTACTGTAGTAAAATATATTATTTACTCACATGTCCTATAAGCCATATGCAGAAAGCAGGAGCAATCCATTCTCTAGCATGGATACCACAGTCAATCCATATGGCATTTTTTGGTGTTTTATTTCTCTTAAAAAGCTGACAAAAGGAAGTCACATGTTGAAATGGCATGTGGAAATAGAATTAGAAACAAAAGGGCAGAAGGAAATGTTCTCTTTCTCTCTTGGATAAAGTTGTCAAGGAGAAAGAAGTATATACTAATTTATATCACTTTAAAGCTAAAGTAACTCAAACTTGCTATGGTGCATCTAAAAACAGTCCATTGCAGATGCCAAGGATAAATAGCATTCTACCTATTTGTCTCACGCAAAAAATGTGAGCAAGAAATAATACAGATTCTTTTAAAAAAATCTGTCAGACAAAGACTGGCACCTGTAGCTTAAGGTCTACAAAAAGATTGCACATTAAATCACAACTGTACCTTCAAAACATAAAGTGGACGTTTCTCATATGAAGATCCAATGCATATTTTCTGGAGGATATCCGCATTTTGTTCTGTTATATAATCCATCCAAGAATTTATCTACAAAAATGTAGTGGTTCAGTCAGTAAATGCAGTTTCACTTTAAAAGCATTTTGCCCCTGCATTCAATGCACAATGCAGAAGCATAACCTCCGTTGAAGTAACAGGAAGAACTGTTCCAGCTTTGAGAAGGGCAGGGTGACATTTCCTCAGGGGCCAGAACCTAGGACCACAACATTTTCTCAAATAGCTAAGTAATTTTAGGAGCACATATTTCATTGGGATTCCACCTGCAATCAATAGCTCATAGCCAGGTCATCTCACACAACTGGACTGACAAATGAAAGATAATACATTCTTCCCTGAATATATTAGATGTCATACATAAATGAAATTTTATGACTTGACTCCCAAACCAGAAGTAGCATAGCCACATTTGCTGCACCTAGGCTAATCACTCTTGCTTCGCAGCATTAGAGCTGAGAATCAGCTTTAGTTCTCAGCCTGCTATTCAGCCCCATCGCTAGCCCATGGTGCACATATCCTTCCTTCAGAGCCTATAAGCATGTCACCTTACAGTTCTTGTATGTGACTCAATTGCACTAGTGCCCTCTCCATCCTTCACAGATCCCTGTGCTGGCAAGACTGCACATATACCTTCCAAATAGAACAGCTGTATACATTTCAGCCTGTGATTACAAGCCTGAAGGCAAACTTTCCCAGTAACTGTTGCTCTCATCTGCCTGACTAGAATGTAGAAGAGTGAAAAGATGAACTCAGTTGGAGGAAAAAGAGTAAATTGGAACATAGAGTCTGGTGAGACTGAGTCTGGAGGGACTGGGATGGGAGAGAAATTGTTACTGGGATTTGGCAGGATGGTGAGGGGGAGTGGAACTAAGCTGGCTGGGTAAGGAGACTTGCTCTGAGAGTTAGGAAATAGTGTGGAGTCAGGGACTGCTTGGCCCACAAGACAAGGGCTGGGAGCTCAGTGAAGAGAAGCCATTACTGAGGCCCCTGGCATACATTCATTTAATAGTGCCATGGGATCTACTCCCCAGCTCCAACAATTGTGTCTCCTGCCATGACACACATGTATGGCAGAAGGTGTGGTTTTGGGACCAGGGATCAGATCTAGATCACATTCTTTCTCCTTGCCAGTGCAGGGGAAGTCCAGGTTTATGATCAAGGTGAAAGCTGGGTGCTTGCAGCTCCCCCACAACCCAGGGCTATCCTGTGAATGGGGCTGACAATCAGCTGATTGTTGACCCCAGCCTTGGGACAACCCCAGGACTCATTTGAGACATGGAACTGTCCAGGTCTGGGCCAACAATCAAGTGATTGTCATCTCAGCCCTGGGACAGCCCTGGCCTGCTTTGAGAACTGAGGCTGTCCTGGTCAGAGCCAACAATTAGCTATTTGTTGGCTCTAGCACCAGGACAGCCTCAGGACAGTTTGAGACCTGGGGCTGTAACAGCTGAGGCTGACAATCATTTAATTGTTAGGACCAGTGTGGGACAGCCTGGGACTGGTTTGAAAGCTTCCCCCCAGAGAGTTTAAACTGGCTCATGGCAGCTCCAGTAGGGCTACCGGGTGTAAGATATTATAGGCTCCTCAGGGGAAAAAACAAAGGGCTTATCCCACCAGGAGTTTCAATAGCAGGCATGGGGTTTAAAGTCCCCAGCAGGGGAAGCCCTGCTGGAGTCTCATTCTCCACACCAGGCTACCCAGCTTGAGGGAGTTTGGGCACAGGTTTTTTAAATCATCAGTGGGGGAGCTCTCAGCTCCTTCTGCCGAAAGCCTGCAAGGCAGTCCTGAGCCCAATTGGAGACAAGGGCTGCCTAGGAGGCGAATGGGGGCGGGGGAGGGGGAGAAGGTGCTGATAATAATCTTGTAGTTGGCACTGGCCCTGGAGCAGGCCTGGGACAGTTGGAAATCCAGGGCTGCCTTAGGGCTGGTTCTTTCAATCAGCAGATTGTCAGACATCCCACCCCCCCCACATACACACTCTCCAACAGCTCTGGCATGTGGATATGCAACATATTCAATGTAAGGTGCTATGCCACATATGCCATATATTCAATTTAAGGTGCTACACAAACCAGCCACAAAAGTGTTCTACATTATATATAGAACATTACATAGAAATCTTTTTTAATGGCTGGTTTGCTATTTTATAGTACCTTCAATTGGGTACACATGTAGCACCATTGCCATTTACGATGTAATTAACATGTTAACTGCAGCATAAATATAACATGTATACATAACATGTGCCAGGGGACTGAGACCTGTAATGCATGTGTACCAGGAGAACAAATGACAGTTATATAGGTACCTTAATTCTAACATTTCCTACATTTTTAGTACTTGACCTTTCCTTGCAAGATTAATAATGCAAGGTCCCTGCAAGATTAATGCTGAACTTATTTTTGTGCAATGTAACTATTCAGTGCAACCTGTGCAAGGGAGCTCATTTTGATTTCCATTGGCTTCAACATGCACTGCATCAGATCACACTCAAAATCTTAAGAGAAAATCCTCAGATGTCCTCACAGACCAAGTATAAAATTAATTTCAGTCCTTATTTAAAAATGGCCTGCATTAATCAACTACTTTTAGTCTGTTCTGTATTTTACAAAGTGATAAGCCTGGGGAATCGTACACACATTTTTCAGGAAACATCTGCCCATTTTTGTGACACATTTAACAAGGTTGATGGGACAGTTAATTTTATTTCGTTGCTGGCTCAGATCCATTTAAAAATTCAGCAAAGCAGAATCAACTGTAGAATCACCTGTACACAGACCAGCTTCTGTTGAGCTTTAACTGAAAATTATTAGAATTATAAGAATTAGAATGAAAGAAACCCAAGGTGGAAAACTAGGGATGTGAAATACCTATAAAACCATCCAGTAGATTTTTATGTAGTAGCAAAGAACGAAAAGTACTAAGCACGGGAAAGTTGTGGTAGTGTTGGAGTGATGTTGTAGCTGTGATGCTCTACCTCAGTGGTGCTCAAATTTGCAGCCCCATGGGTTGGATGGGCAGTACCTGGTACCTCCACAGACCAGATGCGATGGGTCAGTCCAATCCAGCACACGTAAAGGGGGTTTGGTCCAGCCCCAACCTGGCCATGTAGAGGGGAGAAGGTGTGGCCTGATCCCAACCCGGTTGTGTGGGGCCAGATAATTTGGCAGCAGGGATGGGCAGGCAGTATTAATTGCTACTGCTCCCCTACCACCAAAATTCCCAACTCGTAGGGAGCTCCATGGGCTGGATGTCATGGCTCCTTAGGCTGCATTTGGCCTGTAGGCCAGGGCTTGAACACCCCTAGTCTACCTAGATTAATTTTTGAAAGCTTGTCTAAAAATGTTGCCATCAGTAAAGGGATTCTATGTATATGTATTCCTATATATATGTTTTGTAATGTGTTGCAATCCTTCTAAATTAAGAGCATTATAGCAATATGAAGCATTACTAATTAAGCAATACAAATATAATTTTGTCCCCTTCTGGGTCTCTACTAAAACAGCCTATAATGCAAACAGCTAGTCTATATCACCATTACCAGCAATGAATCATTTTAAAGCCCTTATTAGTATAATAACAAATCATTTATAAAGGATCATGAAACAACATAAGGTATCTTACCTCTTTCAGAGAGTGATACTGTTCATAATATGATACAGAGCTGCGTGGGTGGGCTGTGTCATTGACAGCTTGTGCTTCAATAAGGTCTTGTACATTGTTCATCAAAACTCTGAACAACAAACACAGAGTATAAACTCTTTTTAAATGAGAATGTTACCAAATTGCTTGAATTTCTGATTTTCACAAGAAATAAAAAACATACTTATATCGGATGGTGGATTGTTTTAGTTCAGCTTTCACATCATTTATAATAGATGCATTGACAACAAAATGGACTTCTTTGTCTTTCTTGATGTTTTCAGCTGTAACGGGTTGCCAGAGAACAACCTAGAAAGTTTCCAAGAACAGTTTTTCATCAAGGAAAGAAAAAATACTTTGTTAACAGTGAGTCATTATTTTAAAAATAACCAAATATAATGCATTTCTTCAGTTTAATGAGCCATGTGTGACAAGCAGGTTTAGGTTTCCTAAACTATGTAGCCTTATGATATTCCTGAAAATGAATGGTATGTAGTTAAAAATGTTTATAACAACTGCTATGTATAAATTCATAAATCAAGAACACAGGCAGAAATGTAACCTTTCCTGAGAAAATATTACTAGTTTATCTGTTTAGGTGTTTATTACAATCCAAATTTTCAACTCTCTGGAGCATTATTTTCCCTGAGGGCATATGTGGAATTAATGAGGATCAGACTAGTCTTTGCAGTTATTGTATTCAGTGATTGCTTGTATCAGAGAAGAAATAAATGCCCAAAGGGATTTTGGGATAAGTCAAGATGAAGCCAAAATAAAAAGTGACCTAGAAAGATTAAAAAAAGAACAGAAAATAACAAAATGAGATTGATCTTGGTAAAATGAAAGTTAATACAGTAAAATAATCTGAGACCCTGGTAGTCAATGGAAGATTGAAACTTGGGAAGCAATAATGCTGAAAATACCTAAAGGAGATAGTGAATTGCAAAATAGAACTGAATTAATAACATGAAAAAGACCAATGTAATTTTTATCTGCATCCTTAAAGAGATGTGTTGTGAAGTTGCTCAAAGATAATCGTTTCTTTTCTACTTACTTCTGGTGCAATTTACCTTGAATACTGTATTTGTTTTTGGGCCCCATGTTACCAGAAATGTATCAACTCCCCATCTTTCTTTAATTAATTTTGAGGTTGGTGGCGTCTCTAATATCCTAACAAGATATTACAGATGCTCTGAACCAAGACTTTGGAATATTCAGTGTAGAGATACCCCCTGGTAAAGTTATCCTAATGATATGTTGTTACTGGAACTGTAATGTACTATAGACGTACCTGAGCTTACTTTATAAGATAGCTATTTCAGGTACTGGTAGGAGTCTAGCCATGGCATCACAGAGCTCAGACCAAACTACAAAATCTACTAAAGAATCAACAAATGCTTGCAAAGATAGCCACTCATGAGGTCTGTGCTGCCTTTGGATTAACTGTTACCAGTACCTAAGACAGCTATTTTAAAACTACCTTGGGTATGTCTGCAACACACTGAGTGTCTACATGAGATGCTTTACTGCACAGTAGACTGATGTACTGTGCAGTAAAGTGTCACCATCTACACGTGCTCACTATTTACTGTGTGGTAAATTAGTCCACTATGCAGTTAGCTACTAGCTGTAAATACAGGTAGTAAACTAACTGTGCAGTAGATTCTGCATAGTAGTGCATATGTAGTGCAAATTTGCTCCCAGTCAGCCTTAACACCAGGGGGCCACAAGGGATGGGTAACTTAGCCGGTCCTGGCACTGCTTAGCTTCCGGCTCCCGGAAGCAGGAGCTGGAAGCTGAGCAGTGCTGAAATGAGGTAGCTCTCTGCCCCCACCTGCCTCAGCTCTGCTCAGCCCCCTACAGGAGCCAGGAGGCGAGCAGCATCAGGCCTGGGGAGCTCTCTGCTTCACCATGCAGCTGGGGGCTGACTAGGAGCTGTCCCACTTCTGGGGCAGCTTCCAGCCAGTCCCTAGCTGGGCTGAGATTTCCCGCTGTTCCACATTGGTTCTCATGCAGGAAAGAAGGAATGTGTCACACAAGAGGTGTGAGGGTTGTGAGAGTATAAGATGTGTTACAGGAGCCAAGCTGTGCTGGGGAAGGTGATCTGGAACTGAGGGTGAGGATTAATAAGAGGAGGAAGAAACAGGAGCTGATGGGGGATAAATAGAAGATGAGGGGGCTAGCAGGGTATATAGGAACATAGGAGGATGGGAGAAGGAGCCGGGGGAATGAAGAGAGGAGGAGGATGTTAGGAACTGAGGAGAGAAAAAGTTGAATGGTAGCAGAATGGTACAGAGACAGGACACGGGCAAAAGCCAATCAGAGGCTCCCAGTCCTCTGGGGCACATCATCAAGAATCGATCTCTTCAATTGTATTGGTTGGAGGAATGGTTCCAGTTTTCATGGTAAAGCTGACTTCAGACTAAGATGTGATGGAGAAGAGGGGGAAATGCTCTTAAATGAATATGGATGCTCTCCTTTAATTAAATGCTTTTTTCCTTTAATGACAAATAGGCATCACAAAATCCCACTGGAGTTCTACAAAGTTATTGGTTATAGCTGAAGAGATTTTGATCATCTAAATCCTGTCTTAAGAAAAACACCACCTGCATCGGTCTAAACTCCTGGGACGTTAACCAGATGTCACATGTGAGTACTTTATCACCTTTATTGTGTTGTTTCTCATACACAAAATCTATTGCATAATTCTAAATTGGATTGCTTGGTATAAAACAATTAAATGTTATCAATCTAAAGGATCTGCTCATCTAAATCAGTAGAATGGTGGGAAAAGCTTCTACTAAGCCACTATAACCTATATAGGTATATATGCTATGTAATAGGAGATGAAAGTGAAATGTAGGCTGTGGCTACATGTCAGATGCACCATCTACTCACACCCTGCAACTATACCATGCTGTTTTGTGCAGGAAGTTTCCTCAGCCAGAAACAGTGAGACCCCATCCATGAGATGCAATGGGCAGGCTAATAACCAGGAATCTGGGTTTTCCATTCACTGCAGAAAAACAGGGAAAAACATGGATTTTCTCCTTTAATGGAGAAAAAAGTGGATTTTCTCCTTTAAAAGAGATTTCTCCTTTCTCCTTTTTATGAAGAAAAATGTGGGAAACAGCAGGTTTCCCCTTGCAGACTGGCAGAGTTGCAGCCTGCAAGGGGCTGCTTGAAGCTGGGGGGAAGCAGGACACGGGGGGGTGACAGGTGTATGTGTGCACACGCACACATGCACGTGGCCAGTAATACAGCCAGGCAGCAGTGGAGAGGAGCTTCTGCAGCTGCCTGCAGGTAGGTTAGGGGGAGGATTGAGGACCCTACAGTGATGGAGGGAGTTGGGCAGGGTTGGGGGCTAGGGCTAGGGCTGAGGGTGCTGCCCAGCCAGGGTAGTGCCTGGGGCTGGAGTGGGAATGTACAGCCATGGGGTGTCCAGGGAGCAGGATGGAGCCATAGGTGGCTCATCTGGGGAGTAACTGTTGGAGATGGCTCCCCACCGCTGCGCACACTCTCAGGGAAGGAGGCATGGGGCAGCATGTGCCTCCTCAGATTAGTGTGCAGGGTGGGGGAGGATGTGGGCTCCCCACTGCAGGCTCAGGGCTCCCTACTCTGCTGATTTCCTCCCAGGGCCTCTGCAGCCCAGAGAGCAGGACCCACTGTGGCAGGACAGAGAGTCTCAGTGTTGCTGCCACCGCCTGGAACCCTGCACTACCTGTACTGCTTTGGCAAGGCACCCCCTGTCCTGCAGCATGCATCGCCAGTCATGTGCCTCATGATGGAGTGCAGCTGGTGCAGGGCTCTGCTGGGCCACAGAGGCACCCAGGGTGGAGGGCAGCAGGGCAGGGAGCCCCAAGCCCCTCAGTGGGCAGCCCGCATGCCCCCCTGCTCCATTCTGGCTGCATCAAGTGCTGCCTTCCACATGAAGCAGCTGGATTCAGGCACTGCTGGGGTAGGCATCAGGCTGTGGGCTCTGACCCTGATCCCATAGCCCTGGCAGCTGGGGGCCCCCTCTGGCAGGGCTGGGATGGAGGCAGGGGTCTGCAGGTTGGGAGTGAGGGGCACTAGTAGGGCCAGGGAGCTGTGGATCAGGAGCGACGGGCACTGGCAGGGCCAGGGAGCTGTGGGTTAGGAGTGAGGGACACCAGCATGGGCAGAGGCAGGGAACCAGCATATCAGGGCAGTGGGGAGGACAGCTGCAGCTGGACCCACATCCTGGTGAGCAAAGAGAGCAGGGGGAGCTCTGATTTTCTATGATGAAAAAAACAAAATCAAATGTCAAAATATATAGGTATTTAGAATGTATTTTATTATAATGATTGAGGCACTGGTAGGCTTCTGAATTGCTTTAAAATGGTAGATATATCAATAAAACATTGTGTTCAACTGATATCTATAGATAGATAGATAGATAGATAGAGTGGTGTTTCAGAAAAAAGTAGATTTGGGTTTTTTAATCAGAAAATTTGCAATTTTTAAACAGAGAAAACTAGGATCCCTTCTAATAACCATGGGGCAGGGCATGGCCCTGTCACTCAGCAGTGCTAACTAGCCTACGTGGAGGTGCCATGTAGATACAGTTATGCTGTGTCTGGTTTAGAAAGCCACCTGTAGCACAGCATGTTTGAGGGCATTACCACCAGGCAGGGCTGGTTTGTGTGTAGAAGTGGCCATATTGGGCTAAATCTTCCTCCCAATGTGATGGCACAGTTGCAGTAGCGAGAAGTTACCCAGAGTTCATAGAGAATCAATTACCTCAAAATTGGTTGTCAAATTCTGGAGGAATTCAACTTGTGTTGCTGTTCGTGGGAGAGCTGACAAAACTTGGTCACTAGAAAGGATAAGATATTTAAACACAGCATAGGCCTGAGTGAGTGAGCACACACACTAATAATCTAGATCATACCAGCCTAGAGAGCCAGGCCAAGTCTCAACTGCCTCCTCTGACTTACCTGGAATGAACACAAAGGATGAACGAGCAATTAAAATGCTGGGCCACATATCAGCTAGCCCTCCTCGTCTAGGCTCCTTTGCATCACTGAAAAGGCACTGCTTTGCCCAATAGTAGGCATTGAGCTGTAGCAGCCAGCTCTGATGTTAGAATGTGCTATATATTGGGAGTAACATTGTAAGTTGCCTGGCATATTTTAGAGCAGTCCCCAAGGGCTCAGAAATGATCCAGAGCTGATGAAAGCTTATCTCAAGGTCAGGGAGATGGTCGGCATGCTGCTCTTCCCCAAATTCACTGGGCACAGCACAACAGAAACACTGCACTTCTCTCCCTATCTGTTGAGAACATATAGTGATCTTCTAACTGCACATCCTGGGGCACAGCACATTTACACCAGTGTCATTTACATCAGTTTTGTAAGCTAACATAAATCATACTAAGATCTGAAGCAGACAGATAAGTGGCTATATCAGGGTAGCTGGAAGCAGTAGGCTGTTGTTACTGCATCTTGCTATGGTAGTGAAGGAGCAGGTAATATCCTCTTTGCCCTGATCAAACTGCCGACAACTATACTGAGCTGATAGCGACCATACTGATATATCTTATGACCTTGTTGCTTAACCCCTGATTTTTCCCTAGGTATAATTGCTGATTTAGGTCTGGGCATAATGTGTTTGTTCCTTTTCTACACCAGTATAAAGGCTTGGTCCATCTGTCCTTCCTTTGTTCCGTCCTTTCTTTCTTCCTTCCTTGCTTCCTTCTCACTCAGCTGTAAGGGAAACTGCTCAGATCTTCCTTCTACAGAAGAAAGATCTGATCAGTAGCATCTTTTGCTGTTAACACCTGTTCCTTCCTGCCTTTCCTAACTACAGATTCTGGTTACAATGGTGTAAAACGTGTCAGGTCTTGAGCTCTTCTATGACTGTAAGACATGAATATGCCCTTATTATACATATAAAAGGTTTACCTTCTCCCTCCCTTTCCTCATTTTAGAAGATTGTCCTTAAAACCTCAGCTGTCTAACTGCTTCTGGTTTGGAGCACCATATACTACTACCCCACTCCTCTCTCTGTAGTTACTGATACTTTTCATTACACCTGAAACACATGGCCAAAGCAGTGCCATGCAGAACAGTCTGCCAAGTATTCTGCTTTGTGCTAGGTGATCCTCCTCTGAACCTATACTTCACCTAAATTTGTGCTTGTTAACAACTGTAGAAAAGAGCCAAGGAAGAGACGCAGGTCTGAGATGCACACTGCTAATACATAGCTGACTGGGAGTTACCATTTAAGATTTTGACTCCTACATGAATGTAGAACAGTGTTGGTCTCAGTACACTTTTGTCAGTGAGTTAGGAAAAGCTTGAAATGGTATGTGTGTTTAGATCAATAGATGGCACAGAGCTGGAGGCATGTCTCAGGCCATTCCCTTTTTCTTGGAGGGGAGATGGGGAGGCAGGGCACCTCTTGGCTTAGAAATATCATGGAGTTGTTGACAGTACAAAACAAGCCTGATTCCCCCCACTCCCCCCATTTTAGAAGATTGTCCTTAAAACCAAAGAGACATGACTCTCAAAGCAGGTAGTTACAAGGTATGGATTCTGATTGTCACAACTCATTGTTGTGACTGATTCTTAGAAAAGGTCTGACAGAGGCTGGCAGCCAGACAGTTTATATTTACTGCTTTTAGCTGTATTCCAGACAGTCAGTGTTATTTTCCATGCAGAATCAACAACTTGGTAGTCTTATTTTTGCCTTCACCATCACACTGCAGAGCATCAAACAGCAATCAGATATGCATCATGGCTACCAACTTGCTTCTCAAGGCAAATGACCTATGTAGCTTGTGTTTAGAGCTGTTTAAAAAGTGAGCTTGTCTCTTCATGCTGCTATCCACTAAGGGGATTCTCTTTGGAGGGTGTCCAGACAGGTCTTTTGTATGTATTTTCTCCTGTGGTTCCAATTGCCCTGTAAGGGCATGTCTACATGCAGTTATGGTGCATGAGTAAACAACAGAGCTTATTGCTCTGCAGTTTATTGCTGCTGGGCACATCATTTGAATGTGTGTCTGGGAGCAATACTCTCTGGAGAAATAAACTCTGCAGTTTATTCATGGTCACCACATTGAACCAGGGTAGAGCAGCCCCGGCTATGAGAGGACCCACAGAGTCAGCCTACCAGCCAGGGGCTGCTCTTCCCAGCTTCATTTGCTGTGGACGGGCTGGCTGGAGCATGAGGGTGCTTCAGTGCGGGGGCCAGCAAGCTGCCCCTGCACTGAAGCACCCTCATGCCCCAGCCAGCTCCTCCAGCATCTTCATGTGCAGTGCTACAGGTTTTTTTACTCTGCAGCAGGATAGTACTTGTACAAGTACTGCCTCAGAGTAAATTAGTTTACTCCAGCCTAATAGGGGTGCATGTGTAGACGCCAAGATGGTAACTGAGTAGCTAATTAGTCAACTGCACAGTAAATGTCTTGTGTAGATGCACCCAAGTAGACAGTATTTATAACGAAGCAGATAGCGTGTATTTGTACCCCTGCCTTCTGCTGCGTGAAATCAGATGTACTCTGAAATAGGAAAACAGGAAAAGAAAGGGCCTCTTCAGTCACTGAGTTCAGTCCAGACTGTCACATACCCCATGTCATATAATTCCTTTCATAATAATCTCAGTGATTCTTTCTGGCCTTTAAATCTATTGATCCTTTCTCAGAACATAATGTTACTTCCCCCATTTTTGTTATTGGATTAGTTTTGCCATTAGAAAGTTATGTGCAAGCGTTCAGCTGGACCTGGCTGCATTCTGAGGACAGGGAATTTAAACAGAGATACCACCAAAGCATTACTACTAACAGTTACTAAGACTAAGTACAGCCGGTCAAAAAGCCCAAGGATGAATTGATTCAGTCTTCACAGGTTAGTCTAAGCTGCAGAGATTGAACCGATAAGCAAGTGAACACACATTCACTTTTGATTCTAGAAATGCAGCCACATGCCTGCAGTGACCCAGGCCATAAGCTGAGGGGGCTAGAGCACACCTCCCTGCTTGGCTGGAGCAGATAGCTTGGGCCAAAACTAGCCTGCCCACCCTGCAAGGGAGGTGAGGGTGGGGGGATTATGGGGCAGGTGCAAAGCATCCTGAGATGCTGGGGGAGCTAACTTGAATATGCAGGGGTTCTGGGACAGAAGTTCAGTAAGCTGATTTAACCTAAACCAGTTAAGTCAGATACTACATCCATCCAGGTTTATTTTAAACCAGTTTCAGCCATTTTGAAATCAGTTTATGTACACTGAACTTCTGTTGTGTTACAAATTTGAACCAGTTTCCAATCATATATACTGATTTATGTGGAATTTCTGTCCCTAGCCTGTTTGATACACTTGACTCCCTCCTTTTTCTTCCAGCTTCCTACCTATTATTACCATGACTTCTCCATCATGGAATTTGGGGTGTCTTTTCAGTTACCATTTTCACAATATCTTCCCTTGTCAAAACACCTCCATTCTATAGTCGTAACATTTTTAGACTTTGGCCCCTCTCTTTCACCAGCCAGCAATTTTAATCATGTTCTCGATACTTTATCTTTTTCCTATAATTCTTAGGTAACTGGTTTTCCCATTACTTCAAGTTATTGCTTTCTATTCAGAGTTTTGTTGCCTGACTTATCTTGTTTTTGTCATATCTCCCATAATTTTCAGCAGTTATGAGTTCACCTGTGTGACAATGCACCTTTTTGGGTTCTTGTCACTTTCAGGGCTGGGAAGAGGCAGCCGGCAAGTGCTTGATGAGGGCAGCCATTTTAGAGTTTGGCCCCCTGGCCTGGTGCAGCAGTTTGTTGCCAGCCATTGAGGGAGTAACATTAGAGCTACTGCTCATGGAACATCTTAGAAGTAATGGCAGGGGCTATGGGGATGTCAGGAGGCTCCTGGTCCTGGGTATGACTGGAAACTGCACCCTGCTGGGGAAGGGCAACCTGGTGGGACTCCTTGTGGCAAGGGAGTCCCCAAGAAATGCCATGCCAGTTACCTCATAGTTTCATAGTTGGTGGGGTCGGAAGGGACCTGAGCAGATCATCAAGTCCACCCCCCTGCCATGACAGCAAAGAGTACTGGGGTCAAATGACCGCAGCAAGGTGTACATCTAACCTCCTCTTAAAGACCCCCAGGGTAGGAGCCAGCATCACTTCTCTTGGAAGTTAGTTCCAGATCCTAGCCGCCCTGATAGTGAAGTAGCGCCTCCTGATGTCTAGTCTGAATCTACCCTCTGCCAGCTTGTGACCATTATTTCTAGTCACTCCTGGTAGTGCTCATGGGAACAGGGACTCCCCCAATGCCTGCTGGTGCCCTTTGACTAGTTTGTAAACGGCCACTAGATCCCCCCTCAGCCTTCTCTTGTAGACACTGAACAGGTTCAGGTCCCTTAGCCTCTCCTTGTAGGGCCTGGCCTGTTGCCCCCTGATCATGAGGGTGGCCCTCCTCTGGACCCTCTCCATGTTGTCCACATCCCTCCTGAAGTGCAGTGCCAGGAACTGGACACAGTACTCCAACTGCGGCCTGACCAGTGTCGCATAGAGGGGGAAGATCACCTCCTTGGACCTGCTTGAGATGCATCTGTGGATGCATGACAAGGTATGGTTGCCCTTCCTGACCGCGTCCCCACACTGTCAGCCCATATTCATTTTGGCATCAATAATGACTCCAAGATCCTTTTCTGCCTCTGCACTGATGAGAAGGGAGTTCCCCAGCCTGGAGGTATGCTGCTGGTTCTTCCTCCCCAGGTGCAGTACCTTGTACTTGTCAGTGCTGAAACCCATCCTGTTCTCATCTGCCCACCCCTGTAACCTGTCTAGGTCCGACTGCAGCCTGTTCCTCCCTTCTAGCGTGC